CTCCCGCACGGTCTCTCCGCCTACTACTCACTATACCGTTGTAAAACTACCGTCCTGAATCGACCTCGACTAGACAACCGCCCCGAGCAGGACTAATAGCCCGGCGAAAAATCAGCCACGCGCGCATGCGTAATATTACGCAACTGTGCTGAAGACCGAGTTCATCTTCACGGCTTTACCGCCTGTCGACGCCGGACGAAAGGCTGCGCGTGTGAAGAAAGAGAGATGCTCGCTCGGGTTGGCTGATTTTCCGTAGTTTGAGGACACTCGACGGTAATGTGTGACGGAAAAGTTAGCGCAGTTCTCCTCTGTTCGATCGCATCTCTCTCGATTGTACTCCACTAACTATAATATATTCGCTGATCTCAAGCGAGTTTCGCGGCAACGGGAATGTTTCTGGGTCACGAGGTTGCGCCTGCCATTCAGTCGCGCGAGAGTTGAGACTTTTTTCCGCTCTTGCAAGAGCGACGTGCGATCGGGCGATTGCGCAACAGCACGTGCGTCTGGTGCAGCGATACGCAGGAAGCGAATAGTCGTCGGTCAAGAGCGGTCTCATAGGACAGGACAGGAAGAAGCCGAGAAAAATTTGCGAGATGTAGCTCGAAAAGAAGAAAAGTTCCATCGGCTCAATAGAATTTCCGCCCTTTAGAGAGAGAGAGAGAGAGAGAGAGAGAGAGAGGACAAAAAGCCGATATTCGTCGGGAGACTTCGACAACTTTCGATCGCTGGAACAAATTTTGCTCGAATGAATTCAACGGACACAGACCGCTTCTCATCAGACCGATTTCTCGCGCCAGACGAGACAGAAACTCGCTTGTACGAGCCGAATTTTCTTCGCTCCCGGCCGTGTTCGCCCGGCCATTCAAACTGGTGTCGTGTGTGCTCATGATGTGCGCAAGGCTGGGAAAAGCCGTGGAAGCAATCGTAATTACAATAGCCGTTACACAGCATCGAGCGTGCACCCGGATTTCAATACGACTTGGACACTTTTCTCCCGATATGGTCTCCGAACACAGCGGACGGCCCGGTCGGGAGAACCTGTTCCTGATTAATTCCCACAACTGAAGTTTTCTCATCGGAGCTTCGGCTGCGTTCCAGACCGCATCGAGAAAAAGAGCGCGTACGAGAGCTTCGATCCTTGCGTATTTTTCGTCTCGAGGTTCGTTCTTTCTTCCTTTTTTTGTCTTCCTTGGAGACGCAGCGAGGTCGGCCGACCTCGACAGAGACAGGGACACGGACAGCGAGAAGGAGAAAGAGAGCGAGAAATGCGAGCGACGCGACGAACGAATCGCGATTATGTACATTTATTCACGGCCGTTTACTCACTATACCGTTCTTCATCGGCAACGAGCTGACGCTCGCGGAAGGATGACCGTTGTTTCCGACGAAACCGTTCGTAAACGACGTAAACGTTATTATGCAACCGCGCGAGAGCGAGCGAGCGAGAGAGAGCGAGAGAGAGAGAGAGAGAGAGAGAGAGAGAGAGAGAGAGAGAGAGAGAAAGAGCGAGCGGAGGAACGTAAGGCAATCCATATAATTAACTGCACGTGGCGTGTGTACGGACACACGACGGACATGTACGCCGCCTATCAAAGGTCAGTCGTTACTCGACGCCCGCTGTCGCGCGATTGCGACGGCGCTCGTCGCCGGAGCTTTTTTCCTCGCGATGCTGTAACTGCGTCGCTGCCGTCGATTATGTCAAGCCATGTGACGAAGGAAGCGCCCGGTGCGACAATGACTCATTAAACGAGCGATTTCATTACGGTAAAAAGAGAAGATAGCACGTCGCGCCTCCCCTCTTTTTCTCTCTCGCGCGCGCAAGTGTCGCGCAAGTTGGATTCTGGTAGCGAGATTGTCTTCGCTCGATTTTCCCGCTCGATTCCCGAAGAACGCTTTGTAATCCTCATGATCTCGGCAATCCCTGCTTACAACCGAGAGGATTAATGAAGTAGAGATGTGCGTGCGTGCGTGCGTGCGTGCGTTCAGTTTCACTCGAGACGCGTGCGTATCGTTCTCGATCGAGTTGACTTAACTCATTTCACTTTGAGAACCGAGTCGATTTTTACTTCAGTGCGTTACGAATTAATTAGTATCGCTAAACGGCGCAAAGAGCAAGAAAATAATGTTATACCGCGGTTTTTCACGGACATCGCCGTCGCCACCGCCGCCGCCGCCGCTGCTGCACGAGATTCCACGAGTCATATAATAAAAGAGGTCGTTGCCTGTTGAATTCGCGAGGTCTCCAATGCGACGAGCCGCGAACAGCATAACGCCTATATAAGCGGACAATTAGCATAATGAGCGCATTAACGATTCATGAAAGCAAGAAGCAACCGCGACGCGACGATAATTCCTTCGCCGGCCGGCCGGCCGATCGAGTTGCTGCTTGTCCGAATTGCAATCGCACCTGTAGCCCGAACGAATATAGTTGCACCTGCAGCAGTAGAACTGTAACATTTTGGGTCGCTTTTTCTTTCTTTCTTTCTTTCTTTCCTTCTTTCCTTCTCTCTCGGTTCCCCTCTGTCACTCACTCACTCACTCACTCACTCTCTCTCTCTCTCTCTCTCTCTCTCTCTCTCTCTCTCTCTCTCTCTCTCTCTCTCTCTCTCTCTCTCTCTCTTCCCTCCTCGCTCGTACCCTTCTTTTTTCACCCCCGTTCCTTTCGGTGCGTTTCCTCCTTTTTTCCCTCCCTTTAATCTGCCACTCGGCGTCGACCGTAAAGAGAGCAGCAGCCGACTTTTCGAGAGGAGAGTGAGTGAGCGCGGAGAATGAACGAGCCGTTCTGCCCGGTCGCGGTCGGGGAGTTACCGACGAGATGCGTCGCGAATTAAACTGTCGCGAGATTCGTATCTCAATGCCGCACGCGACTGCCTGCGCGTACCGGCCACATAATCGGCCGATAATCGCCGTGCCAAATTGCTAGGTGCGCGGCACCGAAAAGATAAAGATAATTGTCTCATGTCTCATTAATCCGGCGATGATACGCGCTTTTGAGCGCCATATTCGCGCGGGAATACTTCGCCGCGATTTAACATGCGTACACGTACGTACGACGTATAGAAGAGAACGTGTGGGCAGCCGAGGCTCAAGGAACGAGACAGCTGACCGATTGCATTCGAGAACCCGAATGTAAAGGAACGTTAAAACTAACGTGTGTGAAATGTGAGACGCGCTGAAATTCTCGACTGCGATCGGCCGCTCAGACGCACAAAAATATCTACTGCGTTCAAGTAAACGTTATTTGTTCCGAGTATCTCCCAAGTTTACGCGAATTTCTCGTCATGAGTTCGTCAGAAGCGTCATAATTCACTCAAAATACATTCGAGCTTCTAGGAAGTTCGACACTTCAATCGAGGATATCAAATCACAGCAATGCGGTGAAATTGGAACAAAAATTCGGGGGGGTTCGCATTTTTCCTACATAGAATATAAATTTTGTAATATTCTTGAAGAGAGAATATATATTCTTCTTCTATGAACATGGTAATGAGCTCACTGTGAGGAGAATATTCTTTATTGAAGATAATCATTGTTTAAAGGGAAAAAAAACGTAAACTGGCTATAATCGCTTCTCTCAACTGTAAAACGATACTTTTCTCTGTAAACGTTTCTCTGTGTAGACGCGATGAAGAAATCTTAACTCGAGAAATCTTAAGAAATCCTAAGCGCATGAAATAGCGATAATTACATCGCGATAATGAACTCGACAATTGGACTCTCGTTGTCTCTGCGCGGAGTCGCAGCGGCGTTCGTAAAGAAGTCTCTACGTTTTCCACGCGTCATTTTCCATTAACCGCAACTTAGGAGTGACCGCGTGTCACTGCTTTTTGACATTTCCTTGAAATTTGAGTCGACCTCGCAAAGACGAGCAAAGGCTCCGATGATAAAAGCGGGAAGAACACGCGGTCATGTTTCTGAAGAAAACGTCTTTCTGCAGCCGATGCTGACTTTTCAATTCAAAGCCCGAAAAGCCGAAACGTATTCTAAGCAGACATAGATCGCTTATTAATACACAATTTGCAGGCCAAGCATTATCTAATATAGAAGTCGAAACAATTTAATACGGCTTGTTTCATTTCAAATCAATTGCTTCATACAGCTTTCACATCGTAGCGTCGTTTTAGGATTTATCGGATATTTATCGCTCTCCTGCCTTTATGTATTCGATAAATCTGGAGTAGATTCGACTTCAAAGCGGTGACAACATTTGCGTTTGTTTGTCTCGTGAATATGTCGGAAAAAAAGGGAATGCGCGACCAGAGAAGTGTTTACGAAAGGAAAACACGACCTACATCGACCGTTGGATGGCTCAAGGACGCATCGAAACCTGAGGAAACCTCGTGAAAAATATATATCTCATCACACCTAGCATAATTCCAAGCCGAGAGACAAATATTAAGCCGAGCCTATATCGGGCCAAAATTCGCAGTGCGATGTTCGATCTTAAAGTATCATACCTCGAGAAACGAGACAGGTATTGGGGTCAATCCCAACACGAGCAAATAATTATTCCATGCTCATTCACTGACGCGTTAAAAAATGTTTAAAAAACGGCACGCTGACCGATATTTCCGCCGATGAAAAGTCTATTTCGAATCGATTAAAGAATTTGTCATTTACAAAAACGTCAACAATCTGAGGCCAGAAGCAAGAGAGAAAGAAAGAGGGGAGGAGGGGAGGCAGAGAGAAAGAGACGAGTGGTCTTTAATTCAGCCAACCAATATTGCTAGTTCAGTAACTGATACATAATTTCCACTCTTGTATTTCGAAATAAAAAGCAGAGTAAAAAATGAATCTCATCAATCGACACGTGTGGCTGTGAGATACGAATCTCGAGTGCGTGTCAACAAGAATTGATGAATGTCAGAGATGAACGCGCGATCTAGCGATCCTTATCAGAGGTCTCTCTCCCTCTCTCTCTCTCTCTCCCTCCCTCTCTCTCTCTCTCTCTCTCTCTCCCTCCTTCTCTCTTTCGATCTCTCTGTCTCGTTAGGACTTACATTGTTCCTTGGTGACGATGAGACTGAGTGGCTCCGAGCTGCCTAACGGGCTGTCCTTGCCGCCGCCGTGTAACGCGCCCTTGCCGGGGTGCGACGACTCGCCGAGCAGCCGCTGTTGCTGCGCGTGCAGCCGGTTCTTGATGAGAAAGATCTTCGGCATCCTGACGGTCCTGCGCACAGAGCTGTCATTTACCTATGCACACACTCGCGGCACGTCAGGCGCGCACAACAGTCCCGTTGCCGTGGTGATCGCACAGAATCCCGCAGAGGAGCGCACTACCAAATCCATTTGCGTTCACGTCGTCGGCGGGCTGATTCACCATCACCTGTCCTTGCTCCACGTGACGCGCGTGGCCACTCGCGGTCGAGCATTCACCGAGGACCGGCGGCCGACGACACGATGACAATGTCAAACGCGGCCTCGTGTCAAGGTGAAGTTGCCGACGCGCGGTTTATACGACACGCCCGTGACGGCTCCACTGTCCATCCGAGGTCCAGGGAACAGCCCCGAAGTCCCCGGGGTCCAGGCTGGCCTGTTTACACTGAACTCGAGACCGTGGTAATTAGGTACTCGCGGTTGTCAATAATTACACGCGGTAAGTCACATCGGCACGGTCGCGGCGTCATGTATCTCTCCTCTCTCCCTCCCCCCCTCTCTCTCTCTCTCTCTCTCTTGCTCCCGCTGTGTCCCTCTCTCCTCACTTCCTCCGTCCGTGCTCGGATTTACAGTTATCCTGTGTGCGGCTCTCGACTGTTCACCGTCACACACCGGAGCAACCTCCACCGTAAGGCCTCTTACAAGGTACTGAAGCTCCGTTGACTCTGGCTGGGTCCGTAGCCTCGGCCGCCTGTGCTTTCCTCTCTTCTCCGCGCACCGCCGCTCCTCTGTCCCACTCTTCAACCACCACCTACCTACCTACCTACCGTCGTCGAACGTCGAAGCGCGCGAACCCCGTTGACAGTCTTTCTCGTTCCCCACCAGCCTGACCGACCGACCGGCCCCTCATCTTCCCACCATTGGGCCTCAGGAGCCAGCCAGCGGGACTGTTTGGTTGCTTCAGCAACGCGCGGGCCTGAACGCTACTCTTCGTTGCTGGAAACCGCTTCTGACGCATGCGCGTAACGGAGCATCGTACGTGTGCGCCTTTGAGCCTTCCTTCCTTCGCTCGTCCAGCTCCCCGTTTTCTTTCTCGTTAGAGGATCGTATTGTTTTTTCTTTCTCTCTTTCTTTCCTCTCCATTCGTCGTCGTCGCCGTCGTCGTCGTCGTCGTCGTCGTCGTTGTCGTCTTCTTCTTCTTCCTCTTCTTCTTCTTTTGCTTCTTCTCCTTCTCTTTCTCCTCTCCCCTTATTCTCCTCCTCGTTCTTGTTTTTGTTGTTGTTGTTATTTTTTTCTTCTTCTTCTTCCAGGGGAACTAGTTGTTCTCCATCGCCAGTTATACCTCCTGATCGAATTAGCGTTTTACTGTTGAACGCATTTCCGGGTAGGGAACTCTCTCTCTCCCTCTCTCCCCTCCTGCCCTTCTCTTTCTCTTTGTCTCTTTCTCTCGGTCTTTCACTCTTCCCCTCTTCCATCCCCATCCGTTCTTTCGGATTCTTGCGACGAGTCGAGCGAACACAGATTTTTCCGTCGCACACTTTCCGATTCACACTGCTCCAGCGTCCGCGTTGCGTCACATCGCATAACGTAGAGGTGCAATCATCCCTGCAGCGAACACATATCGGCCCGTGTCATAAATTATCCCGAGAGGAAAAACTGAAGCTGAAATTTCTCGTGGAAGCGACAAAATTCCTCGAGATTCCTCGTACGCGTATTTCAATCTAGAACAAGCAACGCGACATTGAATTATGCCCACACGGGCCTCACACGGCACGAATTATCTCTCCCTCGATCTCGAAGATTTCCAAAATATTTTTCCAGAACAAGAACATTTACGACCGTCCCATAGACGGGCGCGGGGAGGAGCATCCACGAGATGGAAATCTCAGAGAGGGAGATTTTCCCTTCACGATTTCCGGGTGACTTTAATGCATAGATACAGCTGCGATAACACGGAGTAGAATCGATAAGAGGCGACGTGCGAACGCGGTTGTAACGAGAGCTTACGCGTGATAATCGTAACAAAACGCACACTTTGGACTATTCGCGAAGACAGAGGAATCTCTGAGGACAGTCTGATCTCTGAAGAAGAAGGGAGAGAAGAGAAAACGAAAGAGAACGCGGAGAAAGATGCGTTGAAGATAAGATCGTAGGAAAGGAGGGGAGGAGGGATCGTAGCGCAATTGGAAGAAAGCGAAATCTTAAAATCGAAATCCATCGATACGTTGAGAAAAAAGTATTTGGTGTTTATAACTATAAACGCGCATAGTTAAAAAATTATGCGAATCGCTGCTAGTTTTTTGTCAGAGCAACGAAATACATAAAGCCAATACGCCGGAAATTATTACGATTTTAGCGAGACTAAACATTTTTTCTTCCAGTATACGTGTGAGAGTTCAAGATCGAAATGAATTAAAATTTACTCACTTGTTCTTTTTGTCCATTTAATCGCTGATGATCACGCGATCACGCGGACATTGTTAAATAACAACAAATGCACCGCGGAGCGCTTGCAGTGACGGACGCGTCGCGTTCGGCCGCGGTCGTTTATCTTTCGGCCCACGAGGAGGGCGTAGGGCAGGTAGAATGGAGCGAAAGCCGTCCTGAAGAAGAGATCAGCGCTTTATTTATCGTTCGGAGATTTCTCCGTCTGACGGTCATGCATAAAACATTTTCTTCGCGCGTGTGCACCGCGCCAACACGAGGCCTCGGTCAATTTAAATGAGACCTTGCGCTATTCTGAATTATAAACTTGAGTCCCGAGTCGTAATGAAGAGGATCGTTCTTCAGCCTGACTCTCCGCCGAGAGCCCGCGTATTGTCCGCGCTCATTATTTCCGTAATCTCGTTGGAACCAGTCATTCCTCTCGTTGTTCAAGTAAATTTTCCATCAACGGTCAAACATAAATTTAATGTCGTACACTTTGCAGTATATTCGTGCTATAAATTCTCTGAGACATTACATTCAAGCAATGAACCTCTGCAATGTGAATACTCGAAGATTTGAGCATCGAACGTCTGAAAAATCGTAGAATTTCAACTCGGGAATGCGTGCAATCGAATAAGCACAATATTGCTTCTTTCTTTCTATTTCTTCTCAAGTCTTCTCTCTCAAGTGCTTGCTTGAAATTTATCTCTGCCTCAAAGAACCTCAAGACTTCTAAGCCGAATCATCCCAAGTTTCAAAACTTTAGCTCCAACGTCAGAACGTTCACAGTTTATGCGGCTAATCCGCGGCGTTGCTTAACACGCGTCATGGGCGCTCGACGACGCTTGAATTGACGCGATTGGTTGAATCATCGAATCCCTAATAACGAGATAATTCGTCGCGGGTTCGCGGCCGCCATGATCCATGACATTGAGCAGAAAAACTCTGACGACTCTAAACGGTGCGCGGTCAGGAACGACAGCGCGTATAAAATGAATTATGTAAGATTGGCTTCGTGCATGCATTTCTTAAATACCTCTTGCCACGCTCAGCGCACACTCCCGCACGATTGATTCGTATTCCAGCCGGCACGGCGTGCTGCATGTGTCTATTATGTAAAAAGAGGAAGACGACGAGAAAAAAAAAGAAAAAAGCCGCGATAGGATTGCATCCGCGCCCGTGTATTTCCCCCAGAGCGTTCTGCGAATTATTAATTGCCGACGCTTCCAAGTTACCTTCTTTCGTTTTTTTCGTCACAGGCCGATACGCTCGCAATTACGATTAAGGTCGCGTTTGACGTGCGAAATTCAGATATCAAGCGCCGATCGCGTCTGCTGGACACGCGAGCGCAGACGCGCGTGAATCTGAAGAAGAAGAAGAAGAAGACGAAGACGAAGACGAAGACGAAGAAGAAGAAGAAGAAGAAGAGTAATTCTCAGCTCCGAGAAACCGAAGGCGAGCCCACTTTCTCTTTTTCAAATGTCCCCTCGACCCGGCCGCGTCGACTATCGTGTGTAACCGCCTTGCCCTCCGTCTACCTCGTCCGACCCCATCCTGTTTCGTTTTCGAAACGGGAACGCGATCGGTCGAGATCAAATCCAGCGAGATCGCCGCTTTATCGGGTCGCTTCGAGCGAGCATCCTCCGGAGAAGACGCGTTCTCGCTGGAGAGACGCACCGCGGACGCTGAATAGCAGATTCTACCGCGTATGCGGACAATCGAGCGAATTACTCGCACGCGGATTACCCGTCCGCCTGGCCGTTACTCGCGTCAGGATTCTCACCTGGAGCGTCAACACGCTGATTCGTCACGGTGACATTAGACTATGCGGTGTTCCGACATCACTGTCGAATCAATGCACTTTTTAGCACGCTGATTGATTGTATTTACTGCAAAGAAACTTCACGAGTTTGTGCAAACAATGTAGGTCCAGTAAAATTGAAAAAAAGAATTTATGAAAATTCACTTATACAAGGGAGAAAAAATACTGCCAAGTTGTAAAAGTTGCAAATTTTGGACGACGACGCCGTAATTGGATGAATTTTCTTGATTCGACAGCGATGTTACGGAAACTGCACGCAGCGGATTTTTCCGGCGGATATCGTCATTCGTGTATTTTCGCGGCGGTACGGGAAACTGTTTTACACGCGACATAAATTTTCATCTCGTGAGATGCAAAAAACAAACCATCAACTAATTTTTCCAACGCAATAAAAATTTGCCCTTCGCTATGAACACGCCCAATCACGGTAGTGTTATTCGAGGAAAATTTGCCCCGTGCAACACTCGACTTATTCGTTTAAACGACGCCTATGACGCGTATCGGCCTCAGTAAGTAGGTGGCAGCGTTCTATTGGCTTCGTTGACGCAACAGCGTTTCTCTCGCGTGTAATCGTTAATTAACAGTTGATCACAGCTGGCGTATAGAGAGACGACAGGACTCTTGCCGCGTACCAACGTCGAGCGGAAGACGCGAGTCCGGTTCCGATCGGAACGCGAGGAACTCGTCGCAGACGAGCGCGCGTGTGCGCTTTGTCCACCGATGACGGAAAGGCGAAAGGTGAGATTCGCGGGCTGAGCGCGATAAACCGCGCGAGTCGCAGAGTTTTGCAGTCACCGACCACTCCGCGATGCTGTCACGCGCAGGTAACAGCGTCAGAGGAGCCGCGACGAGAGGAGAGGAGAGCAGGCGAGGCGAGGCGAGGCGAGGCGAGGCGAGGCGAGGCGAGGCGAGACGAGGTCTCCGTTTCTATCCGCCCATACGCGGCTTGTGAAACCGTATGTCGTGCGCGTCGGCAGCCGCCGCTACTACTTGGTCGTGGTCGTGATCGTAATCAAGAGTCAAAGTCAAAGTCAAGGCCGGGATCGAGGCGAGGAGAGAAGCACTTATGCAACGCCGCGTTCGCCTGCAGTCGCGACGCGCAAACCTCCGCCGCGGCGGCGGCGGCGGCCAGGTGAGGCGGCGGATCGATGAGGGAGGGGAGGGAAAGGGAGGATTTGTTGCAGCTCGTTGACGAGCTGTGCAACTAAACGGGTATGGATAGCAACTGTTACACGTCTTGCTTCCTCTCTCTCTCCCTCTTTTGAGGAAGAGTGTGGAAATCGCGGCGACTGCCGATGCCACGCGTAGCGTGAGTTTCGCACGCGGTACCGTTCGTTGGCGATAAATTCGGCTGCAACAACTGTGTGCAACGAGACATCGGAGGAGATAAAAGTAGCGGTCCTTCGGAGCCGCCGACGTGATCGTGCGCGGTTAATTAACAATGCGAAATTTATTTGTCCGCGCGGTATTTATTTCGTCGTTTTACCGGCGATTTTATTCGGGACGAACCGTCTCTTCGTATTGACCCTCGTTCTCCGTCTCCCTCGTTCTGCCTCTCTCTCTCTCTCTCTCTCTCTCTCTCTCTCTCTCTCTCTCTCTCTCTCTCTCTCTCTTTGTTTTTCTTCGGGAAAATTTTCTTATTTTACTACGGGATATAAAAGCACATATACACCTGATAAAACGAGGCGCGTAGGGGCACGCGCGCACCATCTATTGTTCGGGAATGAAAGTAATAAAGGCGCGCACAGGTAAGCGCTCTTTCTCTCCGCCTATTTCACCCCCTTTCGTCGAGAAACTCGTGGGGAGGCTACCTGCAGGCCGGCAGGTTCGCCCGGCGGGAATACCTGAAGACATTAGGTCTCGATTGTTGTCACCGGGGTCGGGATTGGAACGTGGGGTGATTGTGAACATCTATTCATCCCGGTGTGCCAACGCGAGCCCAACTCGAAGACAAACTATATGCACTCGGAGAATAAAGTGTTTATAGTATTTTTTGTATATATAATCGCATAATAAAGGTACAGTCAAAAGAGAGACATTCTTGTGCGGTGTCACTGTAATAACAATGCAGTGATTGTTGTGTCGAGCTGAGACGGAAACGTGACTCTTCCTTTGGACGCGTTCGTGCTTTCTGAAATATTTTAGCAACCATCGATCTGCCGATGCTGAAGAATCCGTGCGGCTGACACGGTGCCTCTAATATGATCGTACGATTTGCATATATTTTGCTTCGCTCGACGATGCAGTTACTCTGAAGTTTTCGTGATTCTTGCCGCGTCATTTCTCCGGAACGGCAAGAAATCGCACTCACGCGATCGATTCTCCAAAGCCCCACCGCAACCTACAACCGCTTGTACAAACGCGTCGCGAGTTCAATATTATATTCTTCCTTTCTTTTTTACATAATGGAGCGATCGTGAGGCGCCTTCACGTTTCAGCCTCGCTCCGTCCGACGACGGAAACGCGCGCGCGCGCGCGGCCGATGATCGGCCGCGAGACGACGACGCGACGCGCCAGCGGAATCTGCAGGACGAATGCGACGAGCGTGTAATTTCGCAGCACGTTGTGACGGTCGATCTCACATCGAGTTACATCAGGTAGTTAAACCGCGTGGCTCTTCCATAATGTAAGTGGCCGGTCTCCTAGCGAAAAGAGAAGGCTCTCGGGCGAACTCGACCGTCTCGCGCACGGCGCACGAGGCTGCCCGGCCATCGTCATTACAATCATTATTATCATTATCGTCATTACACATATTGCAGCTGATGCTACGAGCCACTAAAATCCAGACTATCATTAGTCTCGGAAGACAGCCTCTCTCTCTCTCTCTCTCTTTCCCTCTCTCTCTCTCTCTCTCTCTCTCTCTCTCTCACTCACTCACTCACTCCCTCTCTCTTTCTCTCCTCTCTCGCGACGCGCTTCGACACCGCGTCGCCCGTTTCGTCGTCGTCTCGTCTCGTTGTCGTCGTCGTCGCCGTCGACACGTCTTCGTCTTCCTCCCTTGCGAGTTTAGTGCTGCCATCCTCGCTAGTTCCGGTCGTTGCTCGTGCTCGCGCTCGCGCTCATCCAGCCTCACTCAAAGCCGACACGACGTGCGGGCCGTCTTACGTAATCCCGCGGAGATCTCTTCTCTCTCGCGCCACTTCCATCCCGATCGCGGGCACCGAGGAAGGAAGGAAGGGGCGGAGGAAAGGTCCTCGCGAGCACCTTCTCACGGAGGTGAAAGGGGCACGAAGCAACGTTCCT